GGAAAGGAGCGGAGTGAGTGAGTCTTCAACGAAGTTTTCAGTGTGAGGTCCTGTTCTGTCAGGGGGGAGGTCGTATCTCCGCCTGTTCTGAATTTAAACCTGGTCGCCTGTCAGGTGGTAATAAATGTGAACGCCTGAGGTTTAACAACGGGCGCTACGTGGCTTTTTGTTTTACCTTTATATGTAGTTTTTGTCGAACACTCCTTCACACTCCTTTCTCGTAGAAAAACAATCTAACAGCAAACAAGTCCAATCAAATGACGAATTTATCATATAAACAGGAAGAATAAGTGAGGACGACAGCCAATCAGAGCTATTTATTTTGTAGAAGGCGGGTAAACAAAGCACAAAAATAGCAGTTCATAAATAATTGTTAATCTGACATCTATATTCGACAGAAAAGAGGGTTAGAAAAAAAACGAATTAAATAAAATGTCCAAAGTAAATGTGCTAAAAGTACCAGTTTGTATTAAACCAAGAACTCGGTTATTTTTTTTTTTAAATGACTCAATTGGTTACTATTGAAGCTAAGCTACTATAATAGGAATCACTCAACAATCTTTGAATAAACGTAATTTTCTAGCTCTGTGTAGTTTCCTGCGTGTGTGTTTGTAGCTTGGATCAACATATTGTAGTTATTTAATGTGTAATCTGCTGTTTTGTTAAGAAAAGCTTTTATGACCTGGAGTGAAGGTTTTAGCCCTGCGGTTTTGACGGATGCTAACATGATTTTACTGGCGTGTCGGTCACTCGACACTGACAAATCTTTATATATATTTATTTATCTGCTTAAGTTTAATTTCACACAGACAAACAACCTTTGTTCCAGTGGTCAAAGGACATGAACAAAGAAATGAATAACCCTCAGACCAGTGACTGAACAAGATAAAACATCTGCTCAGTATTTTGTCCAGTATAACTTCATTTGATATGAAGACTAAAGTAAAGGCAAGGGGAAAATAACCTCTATTTTAATGATATTTATTTCAGTCCCAGTAAAATGATCATTTCCTTTGTCTTTTAAAATCCCCTTTACTTTGGAAAAAAAAAACATCAGACGTTAAATTGGTTAATATTGATTTTTTATTACTGCATCTAGACAATCATCACATGTCCTTAATGGTGACATACAGTTTATTTCTTCAGCTCAAACTCTTATCAGATAATTAGCATGACATCGGCTGACGATGTCTTTTAAAATTCATTGTTAAAAGTCTAATTCTCAAAAGTCGTTTCTTGCTCTGCTGATTCAATCACACCCAAACCCCTTCTTGTCCCTGATTTGAGGAAATAAACGCCAACCATCTCTGTTGTCTCAGCTGCGACTGCAGACCGTTTTTCTTTTTACTGTGTTGCCCTGAGTTGGATCTTCATGCGGTACGGTTTAGGTGTGAGTGTGACTCCATAGACTGGAGTGAAGTCGGGTTTTCCATCTTCTTCAGGCCAGATAAAGTCAAACTTCCTCAGCAGAGTGGTCATGATGAGGAACAGCTCCATACGAGCCAGACCTTCTCCAAGACACATGCGAGGACCTGAGGTATATGAACATAAGAGGGAAATGTTTTTGACTGACTGCTGATATTACAGTGGTACTGATGCTGCTCATCTGTGTTTACCTGCAGAGAAGGGCAGGAAGGCATCAGGTTTGAAGAACTCCCCCTTGTCATTGAGGAAGTTTTCAGGGTTGAATTCATGGGGGAATTTCCACTGTCCGTCCTCATTGAGGGCTGTGCCCAGGTTTGGGATGATCATGGTTCCCTGGGTAAAACAATGAACCATTACAAGAACTGGTCGAGCAAACTGCAGGTAAAAGAGACGTGTTGGTCGGTGTTGGTGCACAGCAGGGTGGGGTTCACTGACCTTAGGAATGAAATATCCCATGAGCTCTGTGTCTTTAGACGTTTCATGGAAGACACTGAGTGGAACTGTGTTGGCTACTCTCTGAGATTCATGGATCACAGCCTGAAGTGGAAAAAGTGAATG